CACTTCTAGCTGTAACATATGATATGTTTACATTAAATACTGTTTACAAATACCGCAACCATTTCCGATCAAGTTTTGTAAGCAAGCACATCGAAACCAAGTGGGATTAAAAACGTTGTGCCTTACTTAGCCGGTTTGATTAATCGCAAGTGCAACGATTGTTCTTGAGTTGTGATATCCGGGGAAAAGACCGTGAATCAGTGTTGTATAGTGCTCAGTGCTGGGAAACTTACATGTTTTAATCATCTCCACCAAAAACATAAAACAAGTTTCCACTCATTGCGCTTCAAGGACAGTTGTGTTAAAATGCAAAGTAAAAAATCACAACTGCAGTGGGTGATCGTGGATGTTGCTACGATCTTGGAAGATCTTTCTGATTTCGCTGTGATCGTTACAGAGGTTGAACTTACTTGTTTTGCTAGATATACCTATTATGGTTCAGAGATTACAATCTTTAAAATAACAACCCTTCGTTTGGATAAAGGGTTTTTCTTCAAACTGTCATTAATATGTTAACATTAAAAGCTGCTTACAAATAATGCTATTAATGGGAAATAACTTGGATTTTCCAAAAAAATCCAAAACCAAGGGAGATTAATAACTTCGATACTGTTTCAATAGGTTTGAATAGGCGAAACATGTTGTGAGTTCTACTTACTACAATTGAACTGTTGACGTAAATGTGCGTACCTCATATTAGTATAATTGAACAGTTCAGGGGCTACATCATGAATTTTAATTTTACTTCGATACTGATACCAAGATACCACATCAAGTGAAAGATTTTTTGGGCAAACCATAATGAATTTTTAAAGCTTTACGCTGTTAACGTATCAATGATTTGTGGACTGTGTATTTATTTACTTATTTATATATTTGCCAACGGATTTACACCAATTTTACGGTTTGATTAGGATTAGGCCTAAATACGATTATCATAAAATTTGATGACACTATCACAACTTTTAAATAATAATTTTGTTTGTAATTTGCTTTGGTTAACGCGTAGCATAGCAAATCCCCTAATTCAATTCTGTATTTTTGTGAGTAAGTCTGTTGATAACGCATTAATGTCCTTAATTTTCAGTGTTTCGTAGAAAAGACAAGAGCACCTTTGTAAATGAAAATTTCAACCTGAATAAAGTGTGCAGTAGTGAGGTTGATGTAGTATTTTAACTATTTTAAACCATTGTGGAAGGTAAATTTCAATATGCCTCATAGATCTAAAAGAAATTCCTTCTATCAATAGATATAACATATGGACTAAGACGATCGGGTGACATTATATTGCGAAGCATTCGTATATTCAGTCTTTTGTAAACATGTTCAGTATTTTTCATAGGTATTTTATTGTAGTTTAATTAGGGACAATATTTGTAGTTTTTTTTATATAGGTTTGAGCATATACTTTAAAGGTTTTATTTATGCTATTTTAATGTATTATATATTTTTTTAACGTTTAACATTTATTTTTACGTGATTTAATGTTTGTAGTTTGTGTACATATACCTTTTTATTTTTTACGGTCTACTAAACTGTGAATTTTCTCCGTAACCAATAATTGTACAAAAACCCTTTGATATACTGAATTATTTGTTTTTTAAGCTCTTTAAAAAGGCCTGGAGAGAAATTGGGAAATTTTGTGTTTAGAGGGTCAAAGATTAGAAAAACAAATTTTTACCCCATAAAACCCCGTCTCCATGGTCCGATCATGCTGGTTCGCGAACTCATTCAACTTTATCCCGCCTCCCGCCTTACACCTTCAAACCAAATTTCACCAAAATCGGACAAAAATTACCCAAGTTATCGTGTTCACGGACACACATATAAAAATTTGAACGAATTGTGTTTTTGGCCTCTGGGGACATCAAAATGAAAAATTAAATCGGTCCCCGGCGTAGGTCTTACCATGCCACTTACGGTAATAGCTACCTCATTATAGGGAAATTCGCTAAAATGTATGGGATAGGCCAAGGAGTTACATTATTGAGCCCAGTAGCACTAGTATATTATTTATAATTGAATACATTATCATGGATTTTTATATCAAAATTAATTGTATAAATCAAAATGTCTTACTGAAAGTGCTATTTGTATCTCCAAAACATTTTTTGTGTGGAAAATTAGCATATTGTGCGGTGACGAACTGAGACCTGCTGAGACGCAAAGGGTGGGTGAGCGAAGGTAGCAAACCAGTGAAAGTGAAACTAGTGAAACATGCGGTGGGACAATAGACAAGGGCTAGGACACTGGCTGAGGGTAGTCGAGTTGATGCTTTCAAGTTTCTAGGTAACACAGGGTTGTCAACAATCTCAGATCCCGTTATGCGACAGCCACGAAACTGGTGGCCAGGGGTGGTACTATTACAAAAGTCTGTTTTGGGAGGACTGTGTTGTTGCTCGTGACGCCTGCAAAATATGGGATACGGGGCTCTATCCGACCGCCTCTTAATGTTTCGCCATTGAATTCCGCAAGAGAAATGGTCGGTTCTCGTAAGGCATACTCAGCAGGATCTAGAATCAACAAGTTCAACTGTGTTAGAACAACATTTTAGAACAAAAAGTGTTTTTCTACAAGTAACGCAGTTTTGTAGAAGAAACACAATGCATTTTCCATTTTTTCTTTCCAAAACTTGTCATGCCACTCGCTTCCATGTGGATGTCCTTTTTTGTCCACACAACAATGAAGCACTTTCTTTTATTGGCAATATGCAGTTGCCCTTGGACCTAAAAACTTGAGGTAGAACTAGTATACTATGAAAACACAAAATCTAAAGTAAGTCATTTTCTTATTTACATGTTATACAAACAACATTAGTAGCTATTTATGTTACAAGTGTAGTAAGAGCGTTTTTACATCATGCAGGTGAATGTTGTGCAACAAGCAAAAGCGAGTTGCATAATTCACCGAAGTGATTGTCTTGCGTAACGTGTAATGTACAAGATTTTACCTGACCCGACAATATACAGGGGGTTACGTACAATATTTTTCATTTTACTCATCTTCTAACAGTAACGTTCTTTTACAAACAAAAGCTAGTTTGGGAAAATACTTTAAAGCATAACAATAATATTCAAGCGCACAGCTGATTTCTAGCGTTGAACGTCGTTGGCTCCATAGAGGTATATTTGATTAAGTTGAGCACTCAATGATATTTGAATGGGTTTCATTACTTCACCGAGTGAAGTAAAGAAGTTGTTTACATCACGCTTGGGATAGGGAAGTTTGGCATGGCAGGTTGGGTAAAATATTTAACTTGAATTCACTAAAACATAACAAGCTGTAAGATAACCCCATTTTTGGTATGGGTATGTAAACAAAATGTTAACTTGAAAAAGTTCAGATGATTGACACCAGAATTCAGCCCAAATCTGAAATTTTAAATGCCTACAGGGCGAAGGGCTTTCACGGCATATCATCCAAACCAGCCAAAGGTACATCTAAGGAAAAAGCCTTTTATTGATACCCTGTATGGCTATAAAAATAAATATTTAGGGGTCGATTTGCTGGACAAAAAAACAAATTCTTTTAAAGATAAGGTATTTTCATGTAAAACGCAAATGTAGAAAACTACTTTAGGCTTACTAACTTAGGCAATTACAAGATTTTACCGAATGACATAGATTTTTATGGTGTTGTTTAGAAACAACATTTTATAACAAAGCAAATTTAGTAATCTTAAATGTGTAAACATGTCCATTAGATTTTGTTTTGGTTTTCAGTTTATATTTTGTTGTTATTTTGTAACCAACATGGCAACCCAACCCATAAAGCCAATGTATTTTTTTTATATTTTAAATTAATTTTTTGTGCTTGTCTTATACAGTAGACCCCTCTTAACCGAATCTAATGGGACCGGACCTGGGTCGGATAACTCAAAAGTCCCCTAAAATCCCTAAAAATTAAATAAAATAAAAACAATGAAGATATCTGCTGATGATGGGTTACAATGATAAAGTAACGCCCAAAGCATAATTCTGAGAAAAAGAACATGAAGATTAAGATAGTTATAGATAATTGCCTGCAATGTGGACATCCTATTTAAGTATTTTGTGTCAAAATCATCATAGAGCCGTGCCCGACTTGAAATATGTGAGCTTGAATATTACAAAAGTTTACTTTATTAAAATTATTTCATTCTTTCTCAGCATTTGAAATCGGTTGTTTTTCTTTTTTAACAAAAATAAATTTAAATTATTACTTGTTATTTTGTTTAACTGACATTGTTGTGTAGCGAAATACAAATTTTCCTGAGGAAGTGGCTGTCGTCAATCACGTTTTTAAAGCTTTAAGTCCCTAATTCCAAACTTAAGTCAAAATTCTTCCGCTGGATTTTGAGATATATTACAGACAGACAGACAAACAGACTTTGCTCTACCACAGATTGTTTACCACTTACGGCTAAAGAAATCAGTGAAGAGACATCGAATGATGTCACTCTTAGTCGGGTCAAAGAGTATGTATTAAGTGGATGGCCAAACAAGACAAACAATCTGGAGTTAAAACCGTATGAGTCAAGGAAGAACAAGATATCCATATTATGAGGGCTGCCTAATGTGGAGGGTTAGAGCAATTGTCCCAGAAAAGTTCAAGCAGAATTAAGCATTACAGAAAAAAGAAGCTCATAAGCAGGCAGCCCCTGCCAGCTTATGAGTTTCTTTGTTTCTGTAAACAGTGACGCTTTACGTCATTTGGGTTACATTTTCACCCTGAATAACCAAAATAGCTTATGGAAATGGTATTTTTCTAAACTAAAATGGGGTTCTGTTCCAATCTATTTACTTTTAATTTGATTGCCCTCATCTGAGATTTAGTCTTACACATTCATGAAAACGAAAATGCTGTTGTCAACAAGCCATCATTCCTATGCATTTACATTTTTGTGTTAGAAGAGTTTTAAGCTTTAACAGACTAAAACTCAATTATTCAATCTGAAGTAGGTCATATTATAGATATAAACTTGACAACAATACTGTCTTCACAACAATACTGTTTTATAGGTTCATCAACTTTTGATTTTGTGTAAGAATCAACATGGAGTAACTGTGGTCCTTTCATTGCGCCATTATTTCAATTCAAAAATATACAACAAGAAGAAAGTTCCTGCTGAAGACCCGGATAGCATTTCCAGCATAAGTAAGTACTTAAAAGATAGGCATTATGTGTGTTTATACTAGTGATGTGTCGATGTTGATACCAAAATTTGTCTATTCTCGATATCGATATCTGAAAAATTTATTCTCAGGAATAATACCAACACCACTTTGTTTTAATTTTACCATTGGAATGGGTGTCATGACGTCATTCCAATGCTTTAGTATGGGCGCTTTGGGGCAGAGTCCATAGTTGCGCGTGCACTGTAAAATCAGGGCAGCCACCACAATCTGGATATTCTGTATGACAAGCTACCGTTATGATGGGTAGAACTGATGTTGGCGCACCTGTTTGTCATAACTCAAACCATCTATAGAAAACAACTGAGCTAACCTCAAAATGTTATTTTGGTTTGGTGTTGTTGTTTAGTGATTAACGAATAGTGATGTAGGAGTACTGTTCGTTTGTTTATTTAAGTAAAATACTAAAACTGTATACGTTATTAAATTGATTTCACATCCAGTTAGTTAAAGGTAGGCCCTGCACTTCTGGTTGATTAATAATATTGTTGAAGTAAGTTACAATAGGTTTTTTTTAGGTTACCGGTATAAGTTTAAATGCAATTATTTTTTGTAAGCTGTTCTACTTATTTGGCTATCTATTCCTTATTACCTTTGATATTTGATGGAATATTATAATTATTTTGAAATGAATGAAATGAAATGAAAAAATATCTTTATTCTTTATTCATATGGTATACAGTTGCATACATTGAATGGCATCACTAGGCTTAAAACTAAATCAAACTAACCTACAATTCATCGAATCCATAAAGTGTTTTATCAGTTATCAAATGTTTCAGTTTATTTTTAAATTTGGAAATATTATCAATATTCCTCACCTCAGCTGGGGGTTTGTCCAAAAAATGCACTCTGCATGGTTAAATTTAAGCTATTCGCGTCTTGCCGGGAGCTATAACGACACATCCTACTCAACCTGAAAGACAGGATCCCATTGGCCATTTATGCGCTCATACTCTATACATTCTATATACTGCTTCTGATTGGCTGTCTGGTTTGTACCTGACACCACCTTCCATAGTTTCAGCTCGGCCCCCCTGCAATAGCATAGCAACGCTGGTGGCGCTGCCTACGGATTGACAGGCAAAGCTCTCTCAAACCGCTTAATGCTTTTTACCATGCGGTTGGCATTCTGGGTTATAGTAGTACGTTTTCTGTGCTCATAGAGAAGGCGGACAAGCTGTCTCGGGGTTGTGTCATAGGCCTAGAATTGTATCAACTCAACAGTACAGAGCTTATATCTATTCTGACTTGTTTACAGTGGAGTGTGACGGCAGAGAGTTGGGTGACTGTGAGAGCACGGTACTCTACTGCATAGAGGATTGGGGTTGTGTCACAGACCTAGAATTAGAATTGTATCAACAGTCCAGAGCTTATATATATCCTGGCTTGATTACAATGGAGTCTGACAGCAGAGAGATGGGTGACTGTGAGAGCATGGTACTCTACCACATAGAGGAGGCGACCAAGCTGTCTGAGGTTGTGTCATAGACCTAGAATTGTAGCGTCAGTCCAGAGCTTATATCTATCCTGACTTGTTTACAGTGGAGTGTGACAGCAGAGAGATGGGTGACCGTGAGAGCATGGTACTCTACCTCATAGAGAAGGCGGACAAGCTGTCTCGGGGTTGTGTCATAGGCCTAGAATTGTATCAACTCAACAGTACAGAGCTTATATCTATTCTGACTTGTTTACAGTGGAGTGTGACGGCAGAGAGTTGGGTGACTGTGAAAGCACGGTACTCTACTGCATAGAGGATTGGGGTTGTGTCACAGACCTAGAATTAGAATTGTATCAACAGTCCAGAGCTTATATATATCCTGGCTTGATTACAATGGAGTCTGACAGCAGAAAGATGGGTGACTGTGAGAGCATGGTACTCTACCTCATAGAGGAGGCGGCCAAGCTGTCTGAGGTTGTGTCATAGACCTAGAATTGTAGCGTCAGTCCAGAGCTTATATCTATCCTGACTTGTTTACAGTGGAGTGTGACAGCAGAGAGATGGGTGACCGTGAGAGCACGGTACTCTACCTCATAGAGATGGCGGGCAAGCTGTCTCGGGGTTGTGTCATAGACCTAGAATTGTGTCAACAGTCCAGAGCTTATATCTATCCTGACTTTTTTACAGTGGAGTGTGACAGCAGAGAGATGGGTGACTGTGAGAGCACGGTACTCTACCACATAGAGGAGGCGGCCAAGCTGTCTCGGGGTAGTGTCATAGACCTAAAATTGTGTCAACAGTCCAGAGCTTATATCTATCCTGACTTGTTTACAGTGGAGTGTGACAGCAGAGAGATGGGTGACTGTGAGAGCACGGTACTCTACCACATAGAGGAGGCGGCCAAGCTGTCTCGGGGTAGTGTCATAGACCTAAAATTGTGTCAACAGTCCAGAGCTTATATCTATCCTGACTTGTTTACAGTGGAGTGTGACAGCAGAGAGATGGGTGACTGTGAGAGCACGGTACTCTACCACATAGAGGACGCGGCCAAGCTGTCTCGGGGTAGTGTCATAGACCTAGAATTGTATCAATAGTCCAGAGCTTATATATATCCTGACTTGTTTACAGTGGAGTGTGACAGCAGAGACATGAGTGACTGTGAGAGCATGGTACTCTACCAGATAGAGGACGCGGCCAAGCTGTCTGGGGTTGGGTCATAGACCTAGAATTGTGTCAACAGTCCAGAGCTTATATCTATCCTGACTTGTTTACAGTGGAGTGTGACAGCAGAGAGATGGGTGACTGTGAGAGCATGGTACTCTACCTCATAGAGAAGGCGGACAAGCTGTCTCGGGGTTGTGTCATAGACTTAAAATCGTGTCAACAGTCCAGAGCTTATATCTATCCTGACTTGTTCACAGTGGAGTGTGACAGCAGAGAGATGGGTGACTGTGAGAGCATGGTACCACATAGAGGAGGCGGCCAAGCTGTCTGAGGTTGTGTCATAGACCTAGAATTGTAACGTCAGTCCAGAGCTTATATCTATCCTGACTTGTTTACAGTGGAGTGTGACAGCAGAGAGATGGGTGACTGTGAGAGCATGGTACTCTACCTCATAGAGAAGGCGGACAAGCTGTCTCGGGGTTGTGTCATAGACTTAGAATCGTGTCAACAGTCCAGAGCTTATATCTATCCTGACTTGTTTACAGTGGAGTGTGACAGCAGAGAGATGGGTGACTGTGAGAACATGGTACTCTACCACATAGAGGAGGCGGCCAAGCTGTCTCGGGGTTGTGTCACAGATCTGCTTAAGTTTGCCAAGAATTGTGTCAACTGTCCAGAGCTTGTTTTGGATCCCTTCATGCTTGCTATTCTTGTCTCTTTGTCCACCATTGCTGCTTATGAACTTCAGGTTGGTTTAAGATTTGTTTAATATAGGATGAACGTATGTTTACTCAAATAGATAGTATGTACACAGGACAGTTAATTTCCCAAGGGAGGAAATGTGTCGTTTATTGCTATATACAGTATTATTCTATTTTCTTAGCCATGATTAATCATTGGACAGTTAACAGTAAACAGTAAACACACCTTATTTTGGTCTATGATGAGTATGTAAGAAATAGCAAGCCTATCACAGCAGCACAGCAACTTTTTTTAGTTCCCTTTAATTATAATTTTAAAGCTTTTGTTATATAAAAAGAGATCTTAAACAAAAATTATTTTTTAATAATTATTGAATTGTTAATCCTACAGACTTTTTTTACATTTCCTCTTGTATAAATTTAAAGTTTATAGTTGATCAATCCCCCCTCTCCTTAATTAATAATTATTACTTTAAAACTGTTTGTAATTTGAACTAAGGTAAATTTATTTAACACCAAGAAAACAAGAGAATCTTATAAATACCCAGGACCTGGGTATTAATAGCAACTAAGCCCTAAAGTAAAATTCCTGGTTTTGACCATCACTAAACAGATCACCACTAAGGCTGCGTTCATGTCGGAGCTGCAATTAGCGATCGTAGCAACGAGGAGAGCAGCGATGCTAGTAGAGAGTAGCGCTCTGCTGTTATCGGCTGTTCATGTCTGAGCCGCGACTCGTGCTGAAAGATTGATTCGTGATTTCTTGTTGTATTAAAAAACGAGTTCATGATGAGTGATTCTGAAGAAGATTGAATTTTTGCTTCAAATGCAGTAAAGGATTATTTACTAGGATGCAATAAACGTGAATATTGTGCACATCCTATCAACGTGGAGAGGAATGTATTTGGGGAGTACCATCATTTGTATAAAGATTTAAGACAAGATCCCAGAAAATTTTATGACTACATGAGGATGAAAATAGAAACTTTCGACTAGATATTGACGAAAATTTCCGATAACATCCAGAAGGACTGGAATAGTTATCACACTAGACCTATAATGGCAGAGGAACGATTAATGCTAACATTAAGGTAAGTAGGTTTATTGTTATCATGGAACATAAACATTTCTTTAGAAATCAACCCAAAGGTTGCAAAGCATATAATTGGTTTTCATCTTCATTGGCATCTATATTATAGGTAACAGTTTCATAAAAAAACTTTGTACACTTGACTGGCTGAAGTTGTTCTCAGTGGAGGTTGCAGATCTAATGAAATCTTGTGTTATTGTCATTACCTTCATCCGGTATTCCAGTTTTTCCAATGGAGGCAGTGTTTTGATGTGGGGCAGTAAGCTTTAAAAAAAATGTAGATCTTCATCGTCCTCCTCGTTTTTTGGCTTTTTGTTTTGTAGATACTTTAATTTCTCCCTTTCTACTTGTATCAGTTTCTCACCAATAATTTCTTTTTGTTTCTGCTTTTGTAACATAGAAGTTTTTGCTTGTAATGATTGAGATGCATTACTACTAACAGAATTTTCCGTAGATGGTGCACAAAACAGTTCTGAAGACTCACCAAAATCTTCTTCACAATCATTATCTTCTCCAGCCGACTCTTCAAGCGAAGGTACAGGAGTTGTCACGCCAAAGTTTCCACTCGATTGTCTAGGGGTAAACTGGTCTTTTAAAAATAGGAGACTTTTGTAATATTTCCATTCCCCAGTGTAGTCCACACAGTCCTGAGCATCACCAGACTTCGGCTTTGGAATAGATACCAAGACAGTTCTAAACTTGTCACGTAAAATTTTCTACTTGCCTTTGACTGCAGTTTCTGAAAAAAAAATTAACATAATGATATTTTTTCAGATATTTATCTACTGGACAGTCGTTTAAAAGCTTGGCATTTTCCTTTCGAATGGGAGCGTCAACCGTATCAAAAATTGTTGACGAAGTTGTTAATGGGAATTACTTCAACCACTACACATGAAAATTCCTGATGAAGAAGATTTCAAAAGAATTTCTGATGACTACTATAACCTTTGGAATTTCCCAAACTGTTTGGGTAGTATTAATGGTAAACATATCCGGATAAATTGTCCTACACACTCTGGTTCTATGTTTTTCAATTATAAAAAGTATTTTTCTATCGTTTTACAAGGACTTGTGGATGCCAATTATAAATTCATCACCATTGATGTTGGTGGATACGGGAAACAGAGTGACGACGGAACATTTAGATCATCAAGTTTGTTCCTACAACTATCAACCGGAGGACTTCAAATTCCAAACGACTCTGCCAAATTCTCATATTACCGTCCCACATGTCATGGTTGGAGATGATGCCTGTCCACTCCTACCAAATTTGTTAAAACCTTTTAGCAGAGACGACTTACAGGCTGACGAAGCTTACTTTAATTCAAGATTGTCAAGGGCACGACGAACTGTCGAATGTGCGTTTGGGATTATCAACGCAAAGTGGAGAGTACTAGGAACAACAATTCAAACTTCAGTCGAGTTGGTTGACCACATTGTTAAGTGTATTTGCTTATTGCATAATGTCATAATAGACAGAGAGGGAATTGATCATAACCTAAATAAACTCAAACACTTGCAACCAATACCTGTCACACGACGTAGACCTACAGGCAGGCCAGATAGCAGAGCAAAAAAAAAAAAATACGAAACCTGTTTAAAATGTACTTATGTAAAAATCCATTGTAGTGTTGTAAACATGTAAATATAACAAATTTTACTTACGTTTTGTTTTCAATTCTTCAGCAACTTCATTCCACAGCTTGTCTAACACAAATCTATTGTGGTGATTTTTATCACACTTGTCCCACAATGCTGGTCTCATAAAAACTTGTGATATTAAATTATCAACATCAATGTTGGAAACCTCGATACTAGCTGAGAAAATGGACTGAGCTATTATCGCTGCTCTCATCGATGGTCGGGACCCAAGAGCGATTAACTGCGCAGCTCCGACGTAAACAGGCCTATTACAAAGCACGTCGTTATTATCTACGCATTGCTAGGATCGCAGCTAGTATCACTAATCGCAGCTCCGACATGAACGCGGCCTAATAATGATGAAACAAGTAGATTATATTCTGAACTGCAATTATATGTACCCTATCATAAATACTGCTACTAGAACAACATAAAAAATAGTTTCATATCAATATTAATTAAACAAACAAAAATCATATTGACCACTAAATGTGTTAATTGATCTAAAATTCATATTTATGTTTGTGTCAGGAGTTGAATTTTAGTGTTGTTTAAAACACATTTCTAGGTTTAAAGTACATATTCATTTAAGTTACATATTCATGTAATTATGTCAGGATTAGGAGTCAATCATGTGGAACTTTGGAATTGTATCACTGTTAAGGATTAAGATGAGAAAAGGAATACCAAATCTAGATTAAAATTAATTTTTTTACTTGACCCAATCCATTTTGTACTTGTATTATCTGCAAAAACTGTTAATAAGGTTGTGTTATCTATACATTTTTACATATCATAATAAAATAATGGAATTAAACAGGTAACAGACATACTCAAGACTGTTATCCTGCGTAGTACGCAGGAAGAGGAGCGACGCAAGGATTCTGCTTGGTTGCGCCAAAATGTGCCAACTCAAACCAATTTTGAAAATGTGCTTCTCCTGTTGATACAAAGCAAGTAAGAATGTTTATGCAAAGCCAATCTTTCCACAGTTATATAGTAGAGTCATGTGATCTTGTTATACAGAGTGTCACAAAAATGTGAATCGTGCTATGTAGAAATAGATAAATTAAAAAATCAGAACTATTCAGTAACAATTTTTGTTCACAGGAAAATATAGAATATTGTTTTACACCCTGTATATTAGAACATAGTGTTTTTAAATTTGTTATGTGTGGTGAGATATTAATACTTAAAGTACAAATGTTTTAAGTCCTGTCTTTAACTCTGCCTGTCTACTTTTTTCGTAGTCATAAAATAGAGAGCAGTAAAACTAGGATAGGCAAATGTGTTTATAATAGTCACCTATTTGGGTTTTTCTTCCATTCTGCCTGGCGTGGTACGGCACATGAGGGAACCATTCCTGCATTTGCCTAAATGAAGAAAGAAACCATACAAATTTTCCTTAGAGTGGTTGGTTTGTGTTATGTATCAAGAAATTAGTCCATATGTTTTATTTATAACATCTGTAAGATGACTATTGTTAATTATGTTTCGATTTACTAAAGTTTGATATCCAGACCTCCTGAATGTGAATTGACATCATTACTATGATGGTACCTTACCCTGTTATATTAATGCCATTACAAAGATACTTAATACTAGGTATATAAGATATATACTAGGTATATTTCTACTAAATAAATGTTTTCCTCCGGATTGCTAAAGCCTTATGTTATTCCTTTGCCGCAACTTATCCTCAGTCAGATCATTTAGTTTTTTATCTCTTCATTTTCTTCCTATTGAAGTTCTCAGATGATCTTTTTTATATCATGTTTATCCAATTTCTTCTTAGGAATACTCTCAACCCTGGTTGCTCTGAGGAACATCTCCTTTTGTTAATGAAGTGTACAACTTCAAATCCCTGTATGGTTCATTAACTAAGTTGATTACTAATTTACTAGATGTCTTCTGAGAGATTTCTGATTGGAGTGAAGGTGGATCAGACACACAATGCTCTCTGTGTGCAGGTCTGTGTTACCGCTTGCTTAGTTGGAAACAATAATATATTTGGATAAACCTACTCAAAAATGTATCTCCTTCTTTTTTGGTCTAACTTAATATAATTTTGAAAGATTTATTGTGCTATATATTCAAATGTTTAGTATCACAAGTTTATGAAATTATTTTTTTTTTATTTTGATACCATTGATAACAACAAAAGATCTAGTACAAAAATATTATTAAATCCTGCCATCCTACAGATTGAATTTTAATTATTTTCTTGATAATTCTTTTTTTGTTATTTTTTTTTCTCAAGTTGTTTACACATAGGCCACTACTAGGTTAAATTTTCCTGTATTTCTAAATATTATATAGAATATTAACCCTAACAAGTGCACATTTTACTCTTGCTATACTCACAGGTCATACAGAAGTAAAGTGAATCCTCTCCAGTTCTTGGTCTTCAGCCTTTGACCTTTGAGCTTTAACATGTATTTCCTGTTTCTTATTGAGCTTCCCTGGTTCTTTCTTAGTAAGCATTAAGCATTGAATATAACTTGCAGTGACTTTGTATTGATATTTATTATTTATGATTTAATATACAACACTAAATAATAATTATTACTTTACAAATTATTTTTCTTCACTTTCAATAAAATAAATTCATCTATCTATCATAGAAATTAAAAATCATAAGTAGTCAGGACCAGTGCAACTATGCGACCGGGTATTTATGCCGATTATGCTTTATTTATGCCCAGACCTGGGTATTTATGGTGATTATACCCAGAAGTAAAATGGTAGTAGTGACCATATGAAATTTTATTTAACACATTTTATCATCATTTTACTATCCTTACATGGTAATAATTGCAAAAAAACATCTCAATCTTCTCTAACTTGAGTAAAAATTATAAATACCCAGTTTTTGGGTATTTACCCGGGCCTGGAAAAAGAAAGAAGAAGAGAAAGAGACACTGAAAAAGAAGAATCTTCCTGGTTGGATGTCTGCGGACTGTCATCTGCTACATCATAGTATAAAGGGACGGACTCCCAAAAACCTCAAATCTCATGTATGCTTTTAAAGAGGGATAATTCTGTAGGAAAATGGTTTTTGAATCGAGATATTCTTCTTGGCCAGGGGTCCATTAAGCCTAACTAAACTTTCGGGTTTATTAATTTATCGGTGAACATCAAACCAAACTGAACATTCACAGAAAACGTTTATTAATTTATACAGTAAATTGATGATAGGCCCAACCATACTGATAATTACCATACCATACTGGTTACTCCTAAGATAAGCAAGTTATTTGCAAAATACTATAAAAAAATTAAAATATAACAGTAAAAAGTCAACAAAATAGTTTTTTCCATTGCCATTATTACCGAAATGACTATCATGGTCATGTTTCATGGCCTATTTTTGAGATAGACAGTCAAATTGTGCTTGTAACTGTTCACAGCAGTGTGTTTACCACACAGCAGAAACCAAAGTCCTTTCGATCCTTTTTTTTCATTTCCTACCAGATGCATCATTAATACGATTAATGTAATTTACCACAAGAAATTCAGAACTTCTTTTTAAAAACATTCCAAGAACATAATAGTAAACAAAGCTAAGCAAAGTCTAATCAAACAGCTAAGTGAACTGAAACGAAGCAGGACTCGGGACGGGAGCGGGAGAGCTAAACAAAACAGACGACAGATTTGCAACCATAGACATTGCATAGTCACCAAGAAAACTTGTTCTTCTTTATCAGTAATAGCCAGTTTTTTCGTTTGCAATAAGTGATCAGTCAGGCTGTAGACACAGTAAACTGCTAGAGACCAGCGTATCTACCGGCGACAGAGGAGGGTAGTAACGAAGAGTTCAGTCAGTTCAGTGGTAGCCATTGTTATTATTTGTTATTTAAACCTGTACGACATTGTACTGAAATTTTAACGTTTTGCAGTTAGCACCAAAACAATAAAAAAATACTTATACAGTAGTTAGTTAACTCCTCCGAATATGATAATCACAATCGTGTATTTGACTCCTTAGGTTCTAAGTGTTTACAGATAAAATGACACACTGTTAAATCGTGATCAGTGTTCTTTTATTAGTTTGTAATTGAGATATTTTTTCATTTGGCTTGAATAGATATATTTTTAAAATTTAATGGACCAATTTAATGATACCTACAGCGTGATCTTCGTAAAGTAAAGGTCACATTTAGCGCAAAATTACCGCAGCAAAACTGAGATAAAGTAATGGCGTGTCTACTTTAAATTAGTTAACATAACCTTAATTCCTTAAATTAATCCAGGCCCCCTCCAAAAAATGATTCTATATCCGCCACTGACATTGGTCAGTGTTTCACATTAAAGAGAGAGTACTGCTGTCCATGGTTAGGTGGAAAGTAGTCCTCAGCTTGGTAACCATGTGTTTCTGTCCACAGTGTGTGTACCAGAGACAAGGTGTTGAAGGGACTGGTGCAGTTGTGCATGAGTCTGTTGAACATGCCAGCCAAGGGCAAGGAGACTGCGGCAGAGATATTGTGGGCTCACGGCAGACACTCATTGGTCTACATAGTCAAGAGACACAGACAAGTAGCCTCCTCTGTACTGCAGACACTGGCTGACTACATCATCACAGGACAGAACATCACACAGTACACTGGTATGGTATTATAGATTCATTTCACTTAACCCTTAAATGCGTATGACATACCCCCACGGATGCACTTATGGTGGCAACCCTGGTGAGCATAACAGTAGCTTCCTAAAATAGCATATGCTATCATCTGCCCGCAGGGTAGTTCGTCTTGACCGAGTCATTGACCTGTTATCACCATCCTGGATCTGGCATACCCCCATGCGCCTGCTTGTGTTACCAGTACTGTGTTCATTGGGGGTCTAGTGTACCCCCGTGCGCGTAGTAGTGTTTCAGTTTTATTATCATGATTAGTATTAATAACTTTATAATTTTATTATTTATAATGTTGATAGTATTGAAAGTTTGCAAACAAAACTTAGTATCTGTAAACCAATTGGATGGAAATGTTCAACCATAGAGTCCACTGATCTAGCCTCCCAGTAAAAAGGCGAGGTGCACCGTCTGCCTTGGTAAAAAATACGCCATGACCAAATTTAAGTGTAAAACCTTAAAAAAAGAATGTGCCAGAGACAAATGTAAAATATATGTGAAGTGTGTTTAAAAGGACACCAACCGGGAATGTTGCTGGAAGTCAACAGTCCCGGAAGATCAAATAATTTATACCTGTGCCGCTAGGTCAAAAACTACAATGTTTGCAGTGTCTGTAGATCAAAAGTCCCAGTAAGTCAAATAATACAGTCCGAGCTAAAAACGTGGTCTATGTTAAGGAAATTGACTTATTGGGAATTTGACCTAATGCAACAGCAACAGCAGTTTTAATATAACGAAATACGGTAAAATACAAGTTCAGTTTCGCTGAGTCAACAGTGCCAGAAGATCAAAAGCAATAAAAGTGAACGTCGATTCAGTGTAAAGTAGACCTCCTGCAACGCTTACTACACCAACAAAACTCGCTTTTAGTTACTTCGTGTTTTGTCATAATTAGAATAGAGCTAACATTATCATATTTGGTACATAGCTTATCTATTAATGCTTCTTGCCAACTGTTTGGTCAACACTGTAAATAGGTATAGCCTTTCGTCAAAATTTGTGGCATAAAATACCCGCAAGGACGATCTGAAAATTTCTGGTTATTATATACGTTTGTAAAAGGAGATCCATTTAATTGTAGAACTATTTTATGAGTTATAATGTAGTCTACATATAAACTGTGTAAATGTATTACGCCTCGGAAGGGTTGAAACCTGACCAAACTATCATATATACTATTAAAACGTAAATGGGGTTTTTTCACGATTCTGAATCAACCAGACGATGGGTTTTCATTAGTTTTGTGTTGAAAGAAAGACAATTTTGAGAACTAGGGAATTTCAAAGCCATAATTTAAAATTAGTGTCCCAGTTTTTTATAAATTAAGTTTTAGTTTTTAAAAAGTCTAGCAGCCGATGCTAACCTTCTCCAATAAGTCAATGCTTCTAGCTAGCTTTTAGTACAATATAATTTGCTTAACATAACAGCTGTAACATTCAGCATTTGTGACACAAATTCAGCATTTGGAAGAAAATTCAAATACTTATGGTTGGCTTATTTATACTATGTAATGCTGACCATTGATACATTTAATTATTCGGTACGAGGATGGCAGATTAATTAAATATGCATAGTAAAATACAGTAGTAGGATGTTCAAATTATTTTTTAAAGTATTTTTTGTAATCATCGATTTGTTTTAGTCCAATATAATTTGTTTTAACTAATAGCTGGTTGAATGTGCTATGTATACTTATAAAAGGCAAAGCCCTCACTGACACACTCACTCTCACTCACTCATCATCACTAATTCTCCCACTTCCCATTTACCTAGGAGGCTGAAATTCGATACACCGATTCTTTGGGCATTAAATAGGAAAACTAAGTAATTTTTATTATGATAGGGCATTCGAGCTTCGCCCCAGTGGCTCTGGAGTTTCCCATGTTAAACTTATGCTTTTTCATAAAAGGAATTAATTAATCTTAACAGCTGTGTCAATTAAACAATTTATGACAACAGCTAATTTGCAACCAAAAGCTGAGTGAGCGTTTCGAACGAACTTCAACCTGGAGGCGAGTTAACCCCAAGACAAGTGAGCTCAGCGAACGAGCTCATCTTGAAAATTAATTAGTTAAACGGGGCAAAGCCAGCGGGTACAACTAGTTATTCTATAGAATTATTAGGTTTTTAGCGAATTTCGCATATAGGGAATAAGCTATTACCGTAGTACTCATGGCAACACCTGGACCCGGGACCGATGTAATTTTTCGTTTTGAGTCCCTAGAGGCCAAAAACACCATCCGTTCAAATTCATATATATGTAAGTGTATAAGACATTTTGAGGACTTGACTTTTTCGGGTCTCAAGTATTTATACGAAAATACACTATTGCAATATTTTGAGGACTTGAATTTCCGTATGTGTATAAGACATTCTGGGCACTTGACTTTTTCGGGACTCGAGAATTTAGTACTTTTCGAGGACCTGTGCAATTTATTCCATTCCAAATGCAGCGCGTTATCGATCTTCACCCTTGTGTGGGCCTCCCATTCACTGACGGAATGTCTCGTGGCGTATGACGACCGGATATAAATAGTAGGGATGGACGGGATTGAATTTTTAGTTCGGGACGGGACGGGATGGGATTTTTATTTCCTTCTCGATTTTCGGGACGGGACGGGACGGGACGGGATTTTTTTCTGTGCATAAAAAGAAAGTCTTGAGTATTGCAGTTACCAAAAAAGGCATACGAAATCAATCTTTACCGTTTGTGGCACTGATCTATAAAACCAAAAAATGGGTAACAATTTTTCAGGTACCCATAGAAACTTGTGACTCGCCGTATGACTCACGGTCACGGCATGATCGTCGGTATGACTCACGGCCACGGCGCGATCGTCGGTATGACTCACGGTCACGGCGCGATCGTCGGTATGACTCCGCGGTCACGTCGCGAAAATTGGTATGACTCCGCGGTCACGGCGTGATTGTCGGTATGACTCCGCGGTCACGGGGTGATCGTCGGTATGACTCGCGGTCACGGCGCGATCGTCGGTATGACTCCGCGGTCACGGCATGATCGTCGGTATGACTCTGCGGTCACGGCGTGATCGTCGGTACGACTCCGCGGTCACGGCGCGATCGTCGGTATGACTCCGCGGTCACGGCGTGATCGACGATATGACTCCGCTGTCACGGGGTGATCGTCGGTGTGACTCGCAGCCACGGCGCGATCGTTGGTATGACTCTGCGGTCACGGGGTGATCGTCGGTATGACTCCGTGGTCACGGGGTGATCGTCGGTATGACTCCGCGGTCACGGCGTGATCGTCGGTATGACTCTGCGGTCACGGCGCGATCGTCGGTATGACTCCGCGGTCACGGCGCGATCGTCGGTATGACTCCGCGGTCACGGCGCGATCGTCGGTATGACTCCGTGGTCACGGCGTGATCAGTCATCAGAATATTTACTAACAAACTTAATAATAATAAATCAGCTGATTAATTAATCACTTACAGATTTAACTATCTAACACTTTTCCCCTCCTTTTTTACGCAGATTCTACAGCTCCCATTCTTTGTCTCATCTGGTCGGCATGCTTTCTTTTTATAACACCTCCACAAAGTACATCATATGAATATCGACTAAACCAAGATCTTAATCGTTGAATGATTGTATAAGAGTTTGTTGTCTTAAGACAGTCCACTTCTGCCCACTTAGACAACGCATCAATACCTACCAACCACATAGATCCGTTGACTGGCCCTGCCAGATCAATGTGTACCCTTTCCCAAACTCTATCAGGTACATTCCAAGGATATAATGGTACTTCTTCCACATTATCTCTATTCTCTTGACAAGATGTACACTTCTTGATATAAACTTCGATATCTTTATCCATGTTGGGCCACCACACATAGTGTCGCGCAACAGACCTCATTGATGCAATACCAGGATGTCCTGCATGCAATATCTTCAGAACATCAGTTCTCATGCATTCTGGAACTACGATTCTTCCAAACCACAATAATATATCATCTTCGACATTCAATTCATCTTTTCTCTGTTTGTACGACTTTAACATTTCAGGAACAACAGAGGGCCATGTATTCCTCAATATAAAGTTTTTTGCCATTCTAATAGCTTTATCTGTCAATGAATTTTGTTTTAAAAGGTCATAAGACATGATAGTGTTAACCTTATCAACATTCAAAAAACCAATATGAGCCTCCTCAGGTTGATCTTCTTCAATCGGAAGTCTTGATAGAACATCAGCACACACGTTATCTTCTCCTTTTCTGTACTCTATGTCATAGTTGTATTGATTCAACTGGAGACCCCACCTCACTAAACGGCTATTTACTACTTTTGGGAGATCTCGCATTTTTCCAAATATCCGTTGTAGAGGTTTGTGGTCGGTTACCAAAGTGAACTTCCGACCATATACATATTGATGGAATTTCCTGAGTCCAAAGATAATAGCTAGTGCTTCTCTGTCGATATTTGAATATTGTTTTTCAGCAGGCAGTAGTGTGCGACTTGCAAAAGCAATTGGTCGTTCTAGTCTATTTTCGAATCTGTGCATTAGTACACTTCCCAATCCATTTTCTGATGCATCACAGACCATTACCAATGGTCTCATTTCTTCATATGGTACTACTGTGTCTTTACTTGATAGAATTTCCTTTACTCTTTTAAACGTCACCTCTTCTTGTTCAGACCATTTCCATTTAGAGTTAGTTCCAGTCAGCTTATGGAGATCACTACAAATGGTATGAAGTCCCGGAATAAATCTTTCATAGTAGTTAATAGAACCTAAAAATGATAGGAGTTCCTTGACATTAGTAGTTGACCGTGCCTCTCGTATGGCTTTTATTTTTTCTTCAGTAGGATGTATTCCATTTCGGTCGATTGTATGTCCCAAGTAAGTTACTGACTCTTAAAAAAATTTGCATTTGCTTGATTTTGCTTTTATACCAGCTTCTTTCATTCGTTTCAAAACCTCTCTTAAATTTCTTAGATGTTCGTTCTTATTCCTTCCAGCAGCAGCGACGAATTTTGCAGAAGTTTTTGGACGATTGCTGTTTTATATGGGTGAAAGTGAAGGTCTGAGTGCAAAATTCGTCGAATAGAGCGCTCAGACATGCCATGAGCAGCAGCTTGTCCACGCGCCGGGCGATGCGGGCTCGTTAGCACAGTTTGTCGCACTCGCTCCACGTTCTCCGGCGTCCTCACTGACCTTGGACGGCCTGTAGGCCTACGTTTTGCAGTTGATCCTGTGGATCTAAAAGGTATCCACCCACAATTTGATGGTGTTTCGGGATGGGATAGGTTCCCCACGAGCCACATTAAAATGCCTACGAAACTTACGTTGCGTATCAACAACAGAATTGCCATTTTTAAAATACGCCTCAACGACAAGCGCGCGATGTATACCGGTCCACTGCTCTATGGCGACTGAAATGGCATCACTTGGCCTTGAGAATGAGCCGCTCCCCACCACCCTCCTCCACTTGGTTGCCGGACTGTACTCGCTTGAAAACCGTCAGATATTTCTGCCGCTCCCTGTATAACATCATTATAAGCCATAAGATATTTTTAAGAAGACTCCTTTACACCGTGCTGTGGCAATTAGGTTAAGTTAGATTATGTCAGTTTGGCTTAGTTTTGTTTATGATAGGCCTCATAACAAATAAGGAAATAGGCCTCATTTAATCAAAATACGTTTTGTACAGGAACGATGGATTTACCTCCTATCGATAACTCTCGGAAATCCATTACGTATATTACCAATGACTTTGGTTAAGACTTTGGACGAGAAATTAGGATTGTTGTTGACTGAGATTTGGTTAATTGTGTTCACCAGTGACACCGGTAAGTAGGCTAGGTGTGGGTGGACTCTTCCATTGTTGCGCTCACGTTCACCCATCCCGTTACGCGCAGAATAAGCGTACTACTAGTATATAGATGTTACCATCTAAGTGTTCAGAATTTAATTTCTTTAAGTATAAGTGTTCATAAAAAATTATGTTTTTAGGTTGTAAAGTGTACTGTGTACTAGTCATATACTGCATACTGGTATTTATGCTATCATATGTCAGGAAAAGAAGTCCAATTTATTTAAGTTTATTGTATATGAAACATTACCGTATATTATAGTACTAGCTGTACCCGCGGGCTTTGCCCCGTTTAACTTCATAAGTATTCGCATGGCTCAATCACGTCCTGGTTGGAGTGAGTTCGCTACGCTTACTCACCTTTAGGTTGGAGCTCGTTCGCTGCGCTCACTTGCCTTCAGGTTAGCTCGTTCACTACGCTAACTCGCCTCCAGGTCGAAGTTCGTTCGCTACGCTCACTCACCTTTTGGTTGCAAATTAGCTGTTGTCATCAATTAAAAAAATACCGGTAATAGTGCTGCACCCTGTTGGTAATCCTTGTAATTTTAATGCTATTGAACATCATAGAACAGAACCAACTTGTTTAATTGAAACAGCTGTTAAGATTCATTAATTCCTTTTTTAATATGAAAAATCATAAGGTTAACATGGGAAACTCCAGAGCCACTGGGGCGGAGCCCGAAAGCCCGATCAGAATAAAAACTACTTAGTTGTCCTATTTAATGCCCAAAGAATCGGTGTACCGAATTTCAGCCTCCTCGGTAAATGGGAAGTGGGAGAATTAGTGATGAGTGAGTGAGTCAGTCAGTGAGTCAGTGAGGGCTTTGCCTTTTATATATATAGATTACATCCATTACATCCCCCCCCCCCACACCAGGCTAGTAAGTTTTATATTTAGGATTTGAGATTCAAGATTTGGAATTCAATGTTTTATGTTTCAGTTTCTGTTTCAACCATCACTAGAGAGGAGTAAGGGTGAATCGAATATTACTAATTTCTCCAATTAACATTATTGCTTTGTTGTAAAATGATCACTAAAGTGATTTGTCCCCTCGTAGTCAAAGAGTACATAAATCAGACAACATAAGATAACTTTTAGTATTTTGATTAATCCAAAGTTTAAGGTATTCCAACATCCTCCCCTCTCGGTCAGTGTCATATTACGTAAAGTCAACTGTACATATTGCAATTTTTTCAAATAATAATTTGAAAAGTAATCATGCATTTTTTTAAGCTGTTCATTCGTTTAATTTGCAGGATGAAACTTTAACAACAAATATGAAACTGACAACCACTAGAGATTTCCGCATCAATACAAAAAAGCTTCATGAAGTATTAAACCGTAATCGTGAGGTAAGCCAGGAATTCTCCACTTTCAGAATTGTATAAGAACTATACAGTCATTGTGTCAAAATGTACTAGTTATTCTAAGTATAAGTTAGCTTCTTATACTAAGTTTGGTTAGAATTTGCATAATAATAATTTCTTCAATATCACAGCAGACTGATGTTGTCTTTTGTTGTTTTTGTTTTTAAGATGAATATTGTTGGGTTGTTTCAGTGTTGGCTGTTAAGCGGAATATTAAATTCTGCAGATATCGACTAACTGATTTCCCAATCAAATCATTGGCCCAATAAAAAAATCAATTAACATAAGGTTTACTGTTATTACTAAATTTACATTGCACCAATCCAACATAAAGCTTAACCTGAAATAGCCTATATTAAGCGAGCTGTATTTTCTTTTAACTAATTAAAAGCGAGTCTTGTTAAAAACTATAGACCTAACCAGGTTTTCTATCCAAGTTAGTGTTGCTATCTCTGGGATGTGAAGTGAGTCTGAGTTTCAGCCCAATATCACATGACTGACCTACATACGGTACAACATTAACCTTTAATAGGGTTGTGACAGCAAAAATCCAGATAAGATGTATTTAACTTTTCATTTAAAAATGATTAATCCTCGATTAATTAATTGCATTTTTTGTTATTATTAGTTTTTTAGAGGTTAACTGTAAGAAAGGACCATGAGGACCTAAGTTCACCCCAATAAAGAAGGATTTTCATTTCATTTCAATCCTGAAAGTTCATTAGATGATAATAAAGAAATGCCACTGTATTTTTCTGATATTTAAACAAATGTAATTCCAAGGCTGCTGTACTTATTTTACTTTTTTCCAGCAAGAATCAGATCTGAGTATTATTTCTAACTGCATTGTATGGCCACTTTTATGTTGTTTAGCAAAATATCATGCTTAGAAATTGTTTTGGGTCATATCAAAAATACACCATAAATGATATACCAACTAAATGACTCATCAGCAGACTGGAAGAGTCAGTAGACAAAGAAAACAAGAAATCAATTAAATGTAGCAGTATGCCAATTCAACAAATAATACCTCAGGTGAATTGGCAGGATAGCCAACATCTTTAACTTTACATTTGATTTAAGTCAATCCATTGATTATTAGGGATGGACGGAATTGAATTTTTAGTTCGGGACAGGACGGGACGGGATTTTTATTTCCTTCCCAATTTTCGGGAAGGGACGGGACGGGATTTTTTCTGTGCATAAAAAGAAAGTCTTGAGTATTGCAGTTACCAAAAAAAGACATACAAAATCAATTTTTACCGTTTGTGGTACCGGTACTGATCTATAAAAACCAAAGAATGGGTAACAATATACAGGTACCTATAGAAACTTGTGACTCGCGGTCACGGTGCGATCGTCGGTATGACTCCGCGGTCACGGAGTGATCGTCGGTATGACTCGCGGTCACGGCGCGATCGTCGGTAGGACTCCACGGTCACGTCGTGATCGTCGGTATGACTCCGCGGTCACGGGGTGATCGCCAGTATGAGTCGCGGTCACGGCGTGATCGTCGACATGACTCCGCGGTCACGAGGTGATCGTCGTTATGACTCCGCGGTCACGGGGCGATCGCCGGTATGACTCCGTGGTCACGGCGCGATCGTCGGTATGACTCCGTGGTCACGGCGCGATCTTCGGTAGGACTCCACGGTCACGTCGTGATCGTCGGTATGACTCCGCGGTCACGGGGTGATCGCCGGTATGACTTCGCGGTCACGGGGTGATTGCCGGTATGACTCGCGGTCACGGCGCGATCGTCGGTAGGACTCCACGGTCACGTCGTGATCGTCGGTATGACTCCGCGGTCACGGGGTGATCGCCAGTATGAGTCGCGGTCACGGCGTGATCGTCGACATGACTCCGCGGTCACGAGGTGATCGTCGTCATGACTCCGCGGTCACGGGGCGATCGCCGGTATGACTCCGTGGTCACGGCGCGATCGTCGGTATGACTCCGTGGTCACGGCGCGATCTTCGGTAGGACTCCACGGTCACGTCGTGATCGTCGGTATGACTCCGCGGTCACGGGGTGATCGCCGGTATGACTTCGCGGTCACGGGGTGATTGCCGGTATGACTCGCGGTCACGGCGCGATCGTCGGTAGGACTCCACGGTCACGTCGTGATCGTCGGTATGACTCCGCGGTCACGGGGTGATCGCCGGTATGAGTCGCGGTCACGGCGTGATCGTCGGCATGACTCCGCGGTCACGGCGTGATCGTCGATAGACTCCGCGGTCACGGCGCGATCGTCGGTAGGACTCCGCGGTCACGGCGCGATCGTCGGTAGGACTCCGCGGTCACGGCGCGATCGTCGGTAGGACTCCGCGGTCACGGCGCGATCGTCGGTAGGACTCCGCGGTCACGGCGCGATCGTCGGTATGACTCGCGGTCATGCCGCGATCGTCGGTAGGACTCCGCGGTCACGGCGCGATCGTCGGTAGGACTCCGCGGTCACGGCTCGATCGTCGAAATGACTTCCGTCTCCTGCGTTCGCGGACCTATCGCTCGCAATAGCGGCGTCATCGGCACTCGCGAAGCGGCAAAATTGCCGACGATCGGACCAAATCCCGTCCCGAAAAATTCCCGAATCAAATGTAATCCCGTCCCGATAATCGGAAATATTTTTTTCCCGAAAAATTCCCGAAATTTCGGGACCCGTCCATCCCTATGATTATGAGCTTGAATATAACTATCATACTGGATCGGTATTTTTGTGACAGATGGCACTACAAAGGACATTTCTAAGGATTAAAGCAGATTGTAAGAACCTGTAAACATAATTATTTTTAGGGTGGTTCTGACGAGGAAGATGTAGAGATCTCCACCTCCCAAGTCAATTCATCGGTGGTTGTAGGAGACAAAGAAGCCATGTCTCAAGCCCGAACTCAGCATTCTCAAAGAGATCCAGACAGCAGCTCTCAGCCTCCAGTGAAGAAAAAGAAACTTAGTAAAAAGTAATGTTAAGCATTACATTCAACAATTTATTCACACACTGTTCAATTTAATTTGTTCAAGTTTTACACTATTTAACATAACATTATTATAAATAAACTAGTTTTTTTATTTATTTTCCTTTAGTTAAAAAAATCACCTTAACTAGTCAGAATTGATCCAAAGCCCTAAGGCTGACCTCATTACCTTATTACCTCCTTCTATGCTTAAGACCAGTTTTGTACTGGATTAGCTGTGTCATTATAATAAACATTTCCATGATAGAATATGTTTATATATCTGGAGTTTAGAAAGAACATAAGTAGGCCTACTGTATCCGTCTGCTTATCTGATGTTATAAATAAAATATTTAAAAATATTATCTGATAAGAAAAATCTTGTAACTATAAATATCTTAATATGATGAACAGTATATTATTGAACGGAGCAAGCGAAGCTCTTATATCTTGACTCTTATGCATTTTGTAATACGCAAACTCCTCCTAGACAGCTTAAGCAATCATTTTCAAAATTTGCAAGGCGATAAAGACCATATCGGTGAGTGGTAACATCTATATGGCGTTAAAAAATTTTCTAAGGAATCAGCCACACGGGCCCTCAAAATTTCAACGTAATCCTTATGGGATTTGAAACAAAAACAAAGGCATAAGACCAGCTGTTGACTTAAAGGAATAAATGTAACTGTCATCACAGATAGTAGAACAGAAACTGTATGGATCATAAACATAAACAAATGATGTCACTAGCTCGAACCAATAATAACATAAACATATAGTTTGGTCTTTTTTGAAAGTTTAATTTAAAAATAATAATACAAACATTTTTACTTTTGTGGTAGTGACGTTATTTGTTTATGATCAATACTGTTTCTGTTATAATATTTGTGTTGCGTGATTACTTCTTGGTTTCAGTTGACTAGGTGTATTTATAAAACTGTTATTTTTCAAACTAAACATTGTTATGGTTGTAGACAAAAAGTCAGTAGTCATAGATTAGATTGTAAATACAATGGAATCAACCTATGGTGACGGCAGTGTTCTCGTATTCACTGGTTGTGCTGCTTCTAATGTTAATGGCCAAACATTTCACGTAGCACTAAGATTGAATATACAAAATTTAAATTAACTACAGGGGTAAAATAAATTTAATCTTCAGTTTTTGTTCGTTTTTGTTGTTGTTTTGTTGTTGTTTTGTTTCGTGTCGTGTCGTAGTTTGCGATAAAATAGCAATGTGTGGGTAGAGGCTACTAGCAATTATCGACAAACGCTTACCCTACGACAAGCGAAACCTGACAACCAAGATAAGGCCTAAGTGTTTGGTGATATCTTATTGTATATCTGTGTGGTGAACCACCAGTGCAGGATCGAGCTTGATTCATGCCATCTTATCTTTCAAATCAGTGGTATCACAGACAGTGGTGGTATACACATGGATGTATTGCATTTGAACGGGTGCTTGCTCATGTCAGAAGGCTGGGATAAGCTGTCCAGCATTATGTACTCCTTGCTCTGCCAAGAACTGCCAAAATGTCCCAAATTGAAGAGGATGAAGATAACCCTGACGATCATATGTCTTCACCCGATGAGGTCGAATCAGGAAACATTTCTTATACGGTGCTTTCAGCAGGGCGGTTCTAGGAATTTTTCAGAGTTAAGCGAACACCCGAATCAGCGCCACTTAGAATTCCCCCCCCCCCCCCCAACCATGAACATAACTTAACCGTATTTGTGAATTTTTTCCCAATAATTTTGGGAAGAATTTTTCAATAAGTTTAGGTTAGAAGAATACTTGCAATAAAAGGCTGTTTATTATTCGCAGAAATTTAACATTTTTACAATTTTACTCATCATACAAACTTTAGAAAAACCAAGGCCACACAAAAAATACAGGCTTTAATGCTCATCAAGCATGACGTCACGATAGAAGACGGCAATGACGTAATGTTTGCCGTTTGTGATCAGCTGCTTGTGTTAATCTTTCCTTGGAAAATAAATAAATAAATACCTAAATCATTGCCATCTTCTATCGTGACTTTTTTGGGCTGAATGGGGTCGCCACCAGATGATTTAAACAAAAATCTACTCTTTGATTTGGATTGTTTTTTTTTATCTTCCTCTTCCAAATTCGCCTTACGCTTTCTATAATAAGTGCCAGACGGTTTCTTTTTTTCTGCCATTGTTTTCTTAGTATCGGCTCGCAAGATGTTTTACTCATTCATTCAGTTTATACTTTCTTCTTATTTAATGCGCTAATTATAAATTAAACTTAAACCACTCGTAATCATATACTTATCAACAATCATGAATCATCAAAACAATGCCAATACGATACCGATACGGTATACGTATACAACTTTAAAAAGAGTGCAATACAACGTAATGCTCTGCTCTAGGATCAGAGCCAGAGGCAGAAGGGAGGGAAGGGAAGTTTCATGTTGTGTCAAGTGGCGGTGGGGCACACGGGAGGGACGATGGCTTAACATAGTGTCAGCCAGCGTTCACCGCTAGAACCGCTAAGTCGAAAAATTTAAATTAATTTTATAATTTTTAGTAATAAAATTAACATTTAATTATAAAATTAAACTGTCATAACCTAACCTAACCAACCAAACTTGCTGATAATATAAAAAAGATATAAGATAAAAATCAAATAAAGTAAAATCTTTGAAAAAAAGTCAGCCTCTCGACGGGTCTTGAAACTCGAGAAATTCTGATCACTAGTCCGATGCGCTATCAATTTTATGCCACGAACGCCACTGGAATCACATTGTCCCGTTACGGTATTCATGTCGCCTCAAGAGAAGACATTATAGCCACTAGAGATATGACGTCACCACACCTTTAGCCATCGTCCTTCCCGTATGCCCATCCGTGACAAGTCGCGCTGCGCGCTTGCTTCAAATCAAATCAAATCAAAATCTGCTTTATTTCCAAACATTTTTACAATATATACATATACAAAATACGAACAATAGTCCCGCATAGGCCGTAAAAGACCTGTGCGCGGGACGAGCTCTATTACAAATTAGAAATATTCTTAAAAATTAAAACTAAATTAATCAAAAAACTATTTACAACTAAGCTATGAGACAGCTACAGGAACAGTTAATGCTAAATAAAAGGTAGTCGAGTGAATGGAGTTGCAGTTACTGATATATGTACGCTAAATATTGTTTGGTGTACTTGTGTATAATTATAATTATTTTAGGTCATGTATACTGAACCGATAAGTGTCTCAGACTGATCGAGCCCAATATCCGACAGCCAACTGCTTATCTCGAGCATGAGCGAGTCGTGAAATGAAACCCTAAGGCGCCGCGCTGTACGCTGCCGACTGCCGAGCGTCAGCTCACTACAAATCGAAACTGCAAATGGCATTGAGTCCTTCAGTTGTAGTGCTGTACAAATATACACATTTTTCAAGTGCTGTTGGTACAAACAGAATAAATGCCTTTATTGTGGTGCTTTGAATACTTGAACTCTGAGCAAAAATAAACAAAATTACGTTGTTCACGTAAAAAAAAAATTGTTCCGTTGAGGCCACGGCGCCACTTTTTCGTGGTGCCATATGCGGCCGCGTAGTTCGCGTATGGGTTAAACCGGCCCTGGCTTTCAGTGTCTAAAAAGCCAAAATACTAATCATAAGAATGTGTTATCATAATTTATCTTTAAATATAACTAGCTGTTACCCACGGGCTTCACCCCGTTTGACATCATAAGTAAGTATAAATAAAACTATTGATTGGTTAAGTTAACCTGAAATATACAAAATACAGTAAAAGAATAGTTATTTGTGCAACTAGTGAGCAAAGGGAGCAATTGACTCACTCGAGAGAAATACTTACTCACGAGCCGTAGGCGAGTGAGGAATGGTTTCTCGAGTGAGGCAATTGCACTTTGCACTCGAGTTGCACATTATATTTTTCCTACAGTTACCATAAAACAAATAAATTTGTAAAGAAACGTGACATATTTTTACACAGAAGTGAACTTTTAATACGACATTTAATGATCCAACAGTACAACAGCTGACCGGCAGATTTACAGCCAGGGCTGCCAACGTATTTCGCACGCATACGACCTTGTCTGCATATTACGCGCTCACTATTTCTTGCCTTCACGTTACAAATCTTGAGTGAGACAAAGTAATTAGAGTGAGACAATGTTAATATTGTCTCACTGGTGAGTGAATTGGCCACTTTGCTTTCTCAAATCAGTGAGAGAACATGTACATTGTTAAGTAACTGTAGGAAAACAAATAATCACACCTGATTTTAATAAGGTAATAAATTGAAAGGATAACAAACAGATAAGTACAGCTGAGGTATTTTTAACATTAGGTATATGAAAAGTTCCCTTTATAAAGGAATTACGACCTTAAAGGGCAATTTATGAAATAATGGATAATTTTGCGCAAGGTTTCTCGTCATGACGAACATTTTAAGTATATGGTTTATGGGGGTGTGACTTGTAGTTTTCTCAAAAGTTCATGGGTACTTTTGGCTTTATATATAGACTAGCTGTACCCGTGGGCTTTGCCCCGTTTTACTTCATAAGTGAGCTCGTTCGCATGGCTCAATCACGTCCTGGTTGAAGTTTGTTCGCTACGCTCACTCACCTTTTGGTTGCAAATTAGCTGTTGTCATAAATTTAAAAAGATAATAGTGCTGCACCCTGTTGGTAATCCTTGTAACTTTAATGCTATTGCACATCATCATAGAACAGAACCCACTTGTTTAATTGAAACCGCTGTTAAGATTCATTAATTCCATTTAAGTATGAGTACTCAGAAGGTTAACATGGGAAACTCCAGAGCCACTGGGGCGGAGCCCGAGAGTCCGATCAGAATAAAAACAACTTAGTTTTTCTATTTAATGCCTAAAGAATCAGTGTACCAAATTTCAGCCTCCTAGGTAAATGGGAAGTCGGAGAATTAGTGATGAGTGAGTGAGTGAGTCAGTCAGTCAGTCAGTCAGTCAGTGAGTGCTTTGCCTTTTATACAGGGTGTCCCGGAACTCTCTACCAATATTTTAGAGCATTGCTCCTGGGTAAGAAACATACCTAAATATCATATTTAAATTGTCCGGAAGTCCTTAGTTACTCACACAGCCGCCATTTTGTTTTTTACAGTTATTAATTTTTTTCTA